CTAGAAAAAGTGCAAAAGAGGGCATGCAAGATTATTCTCTCCCTTCCTACTCCACATATCAAGAAGCGCTCAACACACTGACCCTTTCGACTCTCACTGACCATCACCACGACCTCATCTGCAAATTTGGTAAGAAGCTTCTACACCATCCCCGACACCGGCTCCTACTACCACCTGAGATCCCCTGTCCGAGAATTGCTGTTCGACACCACAACCGCATCCAGCCCATACGTGCACGAACTGATCGCTATAAGAACAGCCCAGTCCCAACCATTGTAAAAATTATCAATAACATGTAATAAATCAGTGTATTCACTCCCAGTAAACACTGCTCCTTACACTGTCACTATGTTGAAATGAACTGTAGTTTGAGCTGATCCCCATCTAAGTTATTATATGTCTTATTTGTGTCACTTATGTTACTTGTATATTATTTGTAATTCGTAACCCATTCCCCAAATATGTAACTGTATATTTTCAGCCTTCTGGCTGCCAAGCTCTTTCAATAAACCGTTAATTATTATTATTATTATTATTATTATTATTATTATTATAGTAGTGTAGGGAATGATGGTGGATAGTGGCAGCGACAGTTGTGTAGGGAATGATGGTGAGGATAGTGACAGTGAGAGTAGTGTAGGGAATGATGGTGAAGATAGTGACAGTGAGAGTAGTGTAGGGAATGATGGTGAAGATAGTGACAGTGAGAGTAGTGTAGGGAATGATGGTGAAAATAGTGACAGTGACGACAGTGAAGTTACTGATGGTGAAGGTAATATACCTACTGATGGTGAAGTTAGTGACAGTGATGATAGTGAAGTTACTGATGGTGAAGATAATGAAGAGATAGACAGAATATAAACTGATAACGAAACTAGTCAAAGTAGCAATAGTGAAGAAAAACACTATTAACACACCTTCTTCGATGGTCAATAACACCTGGGGACAGACAGACAGACAGACAGACAGACAGACAGACAGGATGATGGTGAAACTATACGGATTATTACTTATTTTTTTCCCACTAAACAAAAGAGAACAAGAGGGGATTATGTCCGGACACAATAGCGCCACCGGGAGAAAAAAAGTCCAACAATAGCAAGGTGAATTTTGTATATGGGTGTATGTCGGTCCGTGTAGGATTGTGTGTACGTTGTAGAGTGAGAACGGACACACGTACAGGGTTTTATCTTCATCAGTGGGGATTAAACATGTATGTGTGTGTGTGTGTGTGCTTTGACAGGTGTACGTGAGCGTCAAGGCGTGTGGTGTGTGTATGTGTGTATGTGAGGAATTGCTTGAGTACTTTAAAAATTTATAAATTCCGTCTGCATGTTGGCATCTGGAAGTGCTTATAAATAAGTCAGTTTAATTCAGTCTTTTTAGGCATCTACGTGTGTGTGTGTGTGTGTGTGTTTATAATGGCTGTGTATAGCTTGCTAATGTCAACAATTTCATCGTGTCTTTGAAGTATTTCTTGTATTTCATCGAACTTCAAGAGCCTCGTCATATATCCTCACAAAGTGGAGCAAACTTCAGTAGTTTTTAAGGATTTACCCAACAAAAAATTAATTACATCCTGCACCAAGGTTACAAGATTAGTTATGGAAGCATTCATAACCTGAGGTTGTCTAATTTTTTGTTTTAATAACGAGATGAAGAAGTCTTTCATATTCGTGATTTTCATACATTAACACTAGCCATGATATTTATTATATAATCTTTCATTTATAAACTACAGCAACATACAGGGATATACTGTCGGGTTTTTTAACATCATCAACAGAGGTACAAGTTACATAACAATCGAACCGTGATATCCGGAAGTTATAATGACGAAGCCATCTACTTCTAAATTTCGTTTTCTGTCATATTAAAATCTCCCAAAGTTCAAATTTTTTTTAATGCTCACACATTTCTATACGAATCCGCTTTCCTATAAGGAAAGTATAAACGCACTCGGTCGAGTTGATTAAAATACAAGTAAAACTTCGGGAGTAATTTAAAGCCCCGAAAGCAGTCACTCAGCGTCCCACCTATGGTCACGTGACTATACGCAGCCAATCAGAGGCTGCCCGAACACGCCATCTATCCACCAGACTCAGAAGTGCTCACGGAAAGTTGTTGATAGTGAGATTTTTGCACAGTTTCTGTGGATTATTACGCTAAAATGAGTTACACTGAGAGTGAAGAGGGTCCTAGTACATCTGCTGCACCTATAAGTAAGCGTCTACGGCCTGAAGATACAGTAAGTGGAAACGCAGTGTTGTGAGCAATAGGGGTTGGGTGTAAACGGGACTGCCCAGTATGGGCCAATAGGCCCGCTGCAGTTTCCTCCATTTTTATGTTCTTATGTTCTTATGAAGGAAACGCGAAATAATGGAAAGATTACCCTGTGTTGGTGTACAGAAACGTAACATTCCTGCTCGTGTTATTAAGCCTTTGTGTAGGTTGGGTGAAACAAAATAAAATAGTTTATGATTTCTGGTAATTGGGTGATTATCACACACAAACTCAGAGCTCTGATCACGTAAAGAAAAGTTGCGTTAAGGTCCGGTGTAGCAGTTAAAAGTGAAATCTAGGTAAAAATGAATTGTTTGCCCAACATATCGTACGGCACTCCCGTCTCCCGGCAGAACGCTCTGAGATTCCGCGGTAAGCGTAGCTGGTGAGTGCCGACTGATAGTGGCATTATATTCGACTTTCATGCGTTTGGTTGTATAATAATTCAATTAATTAATTGAGTTGTTGGAAGTGAGTCTCTAGGGGTTATTTACCAATGATAACTTCTCAGACGAAGACTTAAAACTACGTAAAATGAATTAAATTCAATTGTGTCGCTATTATCCATTTCCGCCTGTTATATATGGGGTTCAAAATGCTCAGAATGGGGAGATCTAAATGTTTATAACTCTAAGGCGCGCTATGTCCTAAAGTAATATATATATATATATATATATATATATATATATATATATATATATATATATATATATATATATATATATATATATATACCTCAGGGTAACACTCGCTAAACTGTACTATAATATCATCCACACAACATCCTTACCTTAAGGTAATACTCACCAAACTGAATTAAAACATTATGATTTAAGCAATACCAAACATATAAGCACGTACGTGTCATAGGAATGCATGTCCATCATCTGAGCAGAACTAACTTCAGCTGAGGCTGACTGCGGAGCAACGCCAACCACTTGCTGTCCGCCGCTGTCTGAATGAGTCGTACGTCTGGCACTTCATTTTTACCTAACACTTCACTTTAACTGCTACACCGGCTAACCCGCCATTACGTGGTATCATACTCTTAAAAACAGTGAACATCAGGTGTGTGGGACTAGATTTTTTCATATAAATGGTATTAGTGAACTGCGTGTGCGAACAGTAAGCAAACAAGATTGGACCATTGGAGGAAGACATATGTTCTAGACACACACACACACAAAAGTAAGATTAGCGAAGAGCGAGGCTGCTCGCGACTACATCGCCTCCCCGCAGGCTGCCTGCTGTCAGCAACCATTACATAGTCGGACATACAGTAGGTTTACATAGACACCTGCCAACTAACCTTACAATCATTAACCACTATCCACAACCACCATCGACAACCAGTAAGTACAGAACTATGTTATGTTATCATGAGTATGTATGCATTGTTTTATTTTGAGTTCGTATTTGGAGATGTTGGAATTTCAATTTAATGAAATAAAACCTAATCGCTACAAAATAGCAAATATTCTATACTACACCAGGGTATATATATATCCGGTTAGTTATCAAATTCAGTTCTTTTTTTTACATTAGTTATATATATATAGCAATTATACACGTTATCCACAAAGCATATTCAGAGACACGAACCCATGTAAATAGCTTAATTTGAACTAAAGTTATGGTGGCTTCTAGGTTTAAAAAACTTCAACGGATTTTTTCTCAAAAGTAGGTTTATGCGTCTGACAGTTTGCTAACCCAAGGTGTGACAACTCAACAACTCTCCATAAACCACATTCCACCAAAATCCTCAAAATGTCAACAACCCAAAAACAAAACATAACTGAATAATGAATGTAGACAGACAAGCAACGTCCTTGTGTATATATTCATCAACTACACGACCTTGAGGGGAATAATAAAAAGGAGAATTGAGAGAAGAAAAAAATTAACGGGTTGAGCTTGACCACAGGGGGTAGTTGTTAGGTTAGGTTAGGTTAGGTTAGGTTACGTTCAGTAATTGGTAGTACCCCAAGGTTCAGTACGTGGACCATTATTATTTATTATATAGAAAAACGACATAGATATAGGCGTAGACAGCAACGTTAGTAAATTTGCTGATGACACTAAAATTGGGCGTGTAATTAAATCTGACGAGGACTCCGCAAAACTACAGGAGCTAAAAAAAAAATCGCATGGTCTGAAAAATGGCAGATGAAATTTAATGTGGACAAATGTAATGTATTTAATCTAGGAGATGTAAACAGAGAAACCAGATACCAGATGAACAACGATGTTATAGAGAAATCCGACTGTGAGAAAGATTTAGAAGTAGTGATAAGTAGGAATCTTAAACCAAGTCAACAATGTGTATTTGCTCGAAACAAGGCTAACAAAGTAGTTGGGTTCATACAAAGGAGTGTTATTTACAAGACTAGCGAGGTCATCCAAACACTATACCTTGCGCTTGTGAGACCTCACTTGGATTACGCAGTTCAGTTCTGGTCACCGTACTACAGAATGG